CCCATTTGACCTCCCGGTGGGTCCTCATACAGTCCTCGGACCCGGTGTACTAACAGGCGCCCCGGGCGCGCCGCTGGAGTGGCGCGATCCGGCGACGAAGGTAGTCGCCATACACCATGGCCCCTGTGAGCCCCTGGGATCGCAGGCCCGCCAGGCGGTCGAGGACGGCGTCGTAGCCATCTCCCAGATCTACCGGCGCCTGCCAGTTGGAGGCCTGCGCTGGGGGCTGGCTCGGAAGTCGGAGGCGCGCTTCGTCGGCGAGGGGGGTGTAGAACCAGTCGCTCTTCCAGTCATCCCACTTCTTGCGGAGGACGCAGGGAATGTAGCGGTTTAGCACCGGCCCCCGCGGCTGGAAGTAGCAGCCACCAACCACCGACGGCGGTGACACCGGCTGTACGGTGAAGAACCACCGGAACAGCCGAAGAGATGGGCGCACCCCGATGAACATCTCGCACAGGTGTGCGAAGATGGCCAATGTCATTACCGCGTTGGGGGTGAGGTGCGCCATCTGGAGATCGTAAAACTCCAGAACATCCATGAAGAAAGAAGAAAATGGCGGAACCAGCCCTGCCATTGCAAAAGGGAGGAAGAAGACGGACCGCCCCGGGTAGCGTGGCGCCGGGCATCCCTCGCCCAGCGTGACTATCTCCCGGCCGGTGGCAGATTCCGGCATGAAGCGGCGCGGCAGCCCGGCCTGCCTCTCGCTCACGATGCGGGAAGGTGGCAGCACGCTACCATCGAGCGGAGCGGAGCCCCGTGCCATGACGCCGGAAGAAGAGATGTTTGAGAGCGAGCGCGTGTGGCGAGGGTAGGGCACAGGAAACAAGGAGTTAGGGCGCAAGCGGCGAAGACAAGGGGAATAATGGCGAGAGGAAGGAAGCAAATCTCTTCCTCGGTGTCTTTATACCCTTGCCAACGCTGTGCCCGGCTCCTCGCTTCTCGCGCCCACTATCTCGCTCCCTCGTTTCTCGCGCCCACGCTTCCACTAATCCCATTCGCCCGCTTGCGGCGCATGAGGTGGATATGCGGCTGTGGCAGTCGAGATGGAACATATCGTGCGCGCGTTAATTACGCTCGCCGACCGAAGCGCCATCGCCATATCTCCAGGCAAAACGAACCGGCTCGTCCCGATTCGCGTGCTACTCGAGTAATGTGGCAGTCTTGAAGAGACCGCTCATTATTGACAGCCGAGTTACCATTGCCGATGTGTTTGATTTGCGACCGTTGGGTTTCTGCCCAACTGTAGAGACCAGCCCCACTTGTCACCAGGCCTAAGTAAGTGGCGTCACGCCCGACCGCTTCCCTCGAGGAGGGCGATCGCCCTGGCATAACGCCGGGGGCTACTGTCGGTGACATGGGACCGGGAGTATCATGACTAGAGGCTTGGGCAGGAGCAATCACCCACGTGGCCTGACCCCCTCGGGGGGGGGGGGGTCGGGCCCGAGGGTGATGTGGCCGCCCCCCTCTTTGTCTCCCCGAGGGGTCGGACCGCTTCCGTTTCGGCCCCGAGGGCTGAGGCGCCCCGACCCCTTGTGGATTTTGCGCCGCGTGTATGGGTTAGGTGAGCACAGCGGGGCTCACCTAACCGCATTTATTGCGGTTTGGACGAGCGCGTCACGCCGCATGTAACGCAGTGCAGCGCGCTCGTTTATCCGGTCTGTGACTGGTCACAGACCGATCAGATCGTGGGTTAGGTGGCGACAGGCGGTCTGACGCACGCCTCGCCCCATCCCGTCAGGATGAGAACCTCCAAGCACTCGTCCCTAGCCGGAGCTGGCGTGTTAGCTCCTGGAGATGGCACGTAGGTCCCGGTCAGATATATGTCAGGCTTCATCCCAACCATTACAAGCAAGATATTGTATGAAGAAGGGCGAACATGCAGATTGCTAGACTGACACGTGGTGGACAAGAATGACCGATTTGTGACCGGTCTGACACTGGTCATGTCGTCGGCAGACAACCATGTACCCACGTTGCACCTGCTTCCGGCGGAGTGGAGGTAGGTATGGGCCATCCCATCAGAAGGTCATTCGGACAGCAGCCATTGCAAGTCTCCGCCCATTTATGAAGAGATGACAGGGTGATCCCCGAGGTCAGACGAGTGAGGACGCGTGGCCACACTAAAAAACAAGCAGTGTTTTTAGCTTTCTAGAAAAGGCAAGCCAAGTTTGAGTAAAGATAGAATAAAGTCCCCACACAAAAGAAAGATAAGTAGAGGTGGTGCATGTGGTATCCCCTTGAGATATAAAAGGAGGACCTTGCCCACTGGGGGACGAGGAGAGAAAAAGGAGGGGAGAAAAAAGAGGGGAGGACTAAAAGAAAGAGAAAGGGGAGAAGATCTGGAGAGTAGATCCCACGAGAGGAAAAAAGGGAGAAGAGGGTTTCTAGAGTAAGAGCTCTCGGGTTCTCCAGCTCTTTGTAGCTTCTTCATACACAGATCCACCAGAACACAGGAGTAGGGTATTACGCTTCTCAGCGGCCCGAACCTGTATACATCGCCCGTGTCTTGTGCTTTTTCCATTCTCGCGAACTTTCCACAGACTAGGAGCTTAGAACCTCACCCAGAGCCCCCGGCCGAACCGGCAAAGGGGGACCTGCGCGGTCTCCCGGTGAGGAGCCCCACGCTCCGTCACTCCCTAACTGTATTTTTAGACTGATGTCTCATTTTACTACTACTATTTTCAAATAGATCATATATGACGTTTTAAATTATGTGTAGTCAGCGAACTTAGCTGAGCTAATATTTAAAGTCCATTATGGTGGAATATATCTATCCAAATTTAAGTTTTAAACTTCACACAAGTGCTCGTATTATACGGCTAATTATTTTTCCAATGGCATATGATGTACTTGTCAACAGCAAGATATCTATGGTGACTTCGTCAATCTTGAGATATATTGCCTAGTCTTCCAAAGTTCTCATATAGATAAGGTGTGCGTGTATGAGTTTGAGCATCAAAGTCTGTAATGTGTTTCGAAAAAAGTATGTATATATAGTCCCTTCGTCACATCTCAAGATCATATATCACTGATATAGTTGGCCATAAGGCCCGAGGCCCGAAGGCCCGGCCCACGGCACGCCTTTTTGGCCCGGCCCAAGCACGGCACGGCCCGACTTGGGTCGGGCCCGTGCTGGCCCGGCCCGACCGTCGGGCCGTGCCTGGGCCTCCCCACCGGCACGCTGGGCTGGCCCGGCACGGTCGGGCCGGCCCGGCACGATGGGCCGGCAGGCCAGGCCCGGTACATAAAGTATGGGGACTAAAAATAGACATATAAATGTAACTGTCTAAAGAATAGGGACCTTAAATAGACTTATTTTAGCTATTTATATACCCCAGCCCAAAGAAGAGGGAGGTAAAATAGACTTTTTGTAGCTGTACATATGTCACAGCCCAATAGGAGGGAGGAAATTTAGACTTATTCTGAGGAAAAGCACGACGGCCCATCGTGCCTTCGGGCCGGCCCGGCACGGCCCGAGGCGTGTTGGGCCGTGCCTGGGCCGTGAGTGCGGCACGTGGGCTGGCACGGCACGGCCCGGTGCGTCGGTCGGGCCGTGCCGGCCCGACAAGCCTCGGCCCAGGCACGGCCGGGCCTGGGCCGTGCCGTGCCGGGCGGCCCACATGGCCAACTATAATCACTGATGTACTATTTGCGTGTTTGAGAGGAGGGGTAAAGAAGAGATTAAGAAGATACGTAAAACGATGTGAGCTATTAGCGTATGATTAATTGAGTATTAATTATTTTAAATTTAAAAATATATTAATATGATTTTTAAAAAACTTTCATATACATTTTTTTGCAAAAGAAAACTTACTTTTAGCAGTTCGGGAAATGTGCGCGAGGAGAAAAACATAAAGCTTAGGACACAGCCCGCTAGAACCTGACATATCTTGGTGCTAGAAAAGAAAATCAGAAAAAGCAGTGCACGTAGACAATGAACCCTATGCTTTCGTGCAAAATTCTTTAGAAACTTGAAGTTCATGCACGGTACTCATACTTAATTGAAATATGCAAGTAAGATTTTCAACCAGATTTCTGTATTTTGTAGTAAAAAAAGGCTAATATTGGCACAAATTGTACAAAAAAAAAACTGAATGGGTTTTCACTAAATCTGAATATCTTTTATAACTACAAACAAATTGAACAGGTTTTTTTGAAAAACAAATTGAAACCTTGTTTTCAGCTATATCCATTTGATGTGTCACACGACTAGCTCACACTAGCTATATCCTTAAAAGATAAATTTTATGTTTTTTTTTCATAAAGTACCTATAGATACTACAATTTTATGCTAAAAGTTATGGTACATATTCCAACGTATTTCGAGATATTTTAAGGTACTAAGTTTTATATTACAAAGTTTGATGCCTCTCCTAGTATCTTGAGCTCAAGGATAATTAAATTATCCTCCCTTAGAATCAATTCTCCTTCCTCACCCTTCTCTTATGTCACGACGCACGACAAGAACGCTATAAAATCTACTCGTAGTTATTTATGGTAAATGTGAAATGAATTTAAAATCATTGTGGTAAAACCTGTCCACCTAGACTCGAGATTGCGATGCTATATATGACCCACCTGTCCACCTGTCAAGTGTCAACTATATACGACCCACGCTGATGCTCGAGCTCGCAATAAATACAAAATCTGTAGGAGTAAATTAAAGATATATCCCCTCGCTCCCTCGTTTAATTACGTCATGATAAACACGCTCTATCCAGGCCTCCGTGAAACTAATTAAACTGTAACCACAGAAGAAATTAAGTACAGAACTAATACAACCGGGCCGGTTGGCTATAGCCTTGATGGATGATCCAGAACCCGATGGATCGATGGATGGACGGATGGCATCAATCATTGATGGTGTTGCCGCCGGCGTCGCCGTCAGCGAGGAGGAAATATGGAGAATTCGATCGCTCGCCTCCCGTCCCCGGGTAGCTTTCAGGCCACCACCACCAATCCATCAATCACCGCCACAGCCGGGGGGCATTTTATGCTGCTGCTGCTGGCAAACAAGTGGTGGAGGATGTGGGGTATACGTACGTACTCACCATTGGAGCCAAACGAAAGCTACCTGCACTAGGCTGCACTAGGTACGAATGTACGCATCTCTCACTCTGGCTACTACAATCTCCCCTTTTTTTTTTTTTTGACAAATTGATCCTTCTCAAAAACTTATTTTGAAACTAGTCCTTGCAAAAAACTTCAACCAAAAATAGACCGTCGACTCAGCGCCAAGGACATTGGCGCTGATCTATAACGTCTCAGCGCCAACATTATTGGCGCTAAGTCCTAATCCGAGGTGGAATGGATTTGCTGAGTCATCATAGCTCAGCGCCAAATAGGTTGGCGCTGAGGTCTTGACGATCTAAATCAATGTGAAGGCAACCTTTTTCAATGAGACACCTATAGCACAAGGGAAAAGTACACGCAAGGTCCCTCAACTTGTCATCGAGATACAAAATCGTCACTAAACCGCAAAACCGGACATCCGGCATCCCCCAACTTACAAAACCGGTCATAAAAGGTCCCTCGGCGGTTTTCACCCCGGTTTTGTCCCACGTGGTGGCTGACTCAGCGTGGGACCCACGTGGGCCCCACATGTCATGGAGACCACGTCAGCCTCCTCTCTCTCTTCTCTTTCCCTTCCTCTCCCTTCCTCATCTCTCTCTCTCACTTATCTGCAAAGCTAGCCGGGGCGAGCAGGAGAGGAGGAGGGCGGCACCACGACGGCGACAGCGGCGGCGGCGGCCGTAGTGGGGAAGCACGGCGGAGGCGCGGGGAGCCCGGAACCCTGCCGACGACGGCGAGCCTGTAGCCCTTGAGCCCGACGAACTTTGCTACCTGGGCGCCGATGCCGTACTCGCGGGAGTCGACAGCGAGGCCGAGCTCGACGTTGGCCTGGACGGTGTCATGGCCGTCGTCCAGGAGGTTGTAGGTGCGGTGGCCATGCGACCAGGGGAGCAAGGTGTCGGCGGCGACAACGCGGGAGCAGGGGAGCAAGGCGGCGGCGACGGGCGCGGCCTTGACCTCGCCACGGTGCGCAGCCTCAACGGCGTCCGCGTGGCCGACAAGATCCTGCGGCTTGTCCCTGACGCCGCCGCGTTCCACACCACGCTGCGGTGCGTGAAGGAATCGACAAGCTGCTCAGAGGATTCGACGGCGCCGCGCCGTCGCATCATCCGTCGTCGTCTTGCAGCCAGCAAGGAGCCGCGGCGGCAGCGGGAGCGGGAGGCCGTCTCCGCCGCGGCCGCCTCGACGCCGAGGATCTCCGGGCGGCGCGGCCGACGGGGAAGGAGCGGCGGAGAGGAGATCGACCGGCCGGCTCCCCACCCGGCGAACGCGAGCGCGAGTGTGAGGTTCATGCTGGGCGGTGACGCGACGGCGGAGACACGGGACAACAAGCTCGGCGGCGGCAGGTGAGCGCGGCTGCGGATGGGGAGCGGCGGCGCCGACGACTCCACGCCGCTCGGCCTCATCGTCGTCGGCGGCTCCGGGCGCGAGCGGAGGTCTCCTCTGATAGGCGATGGCGGCCACGGTCACCGCGCCACTGTACGCGGCGGGGGCGTCGCACCGCCTGCTTCTCGTCGCTCGTCCGCCATCACCGACCGCACGAGGGGGACGAGGAGGCCGGCGAGCTCGCGGCGCCCTGAGCCCGCGCGCCGCCACCGGGGAGTTGCCGTCGCCGGCCGCACCACCCTCCGGCCGCGCGCGCCGCCGCCTGTGCGAGAGCAGAGAGCGAGAGGAAGGAAGGAGAGAGAGAGAGGAGAAAAAGAGAGAGGGTGCTGACATGGTCTCCATGACCTGTGGGGCCCACGTGGGTCCCACGCTGAGTCAGCCGCCACGTGGGACAAAACCGGGGTCAAAACCGCCGAGGGACCTTCTGTGACCGGTTTTGTAAGTTGGGGGACGCTGGATGTCCGGTTTTGCGGTTCGGGGACGATTTTGTATCTCGCTGACAAGTTGAGGGACCTTGCGTGTACTTTTCCCATAGCACAATGGTAGCAAGCTGCAGCTATAGCCCCATGGGCCAGGGTTCGAATCCAATCTCTCCCAATTTTTTTTCCTTTTTCAGTTTCCCCTTTCTCTTTTATCTATCTTTATCTATATTTTTTCCCATTTCTCTTTTTTCTCTCTTTATTTATTTATATGTTATTTTTCTTTTCGGTTCTCTTGTTTTCTTTTCTCTCTCTTTATCTATATTTTTCCTTTTCTGTTTGTCTCGTAATATTATCTTCAAAAGATATGCTTTATTTGCAACTATTTTTTGAATTTGGAAAAAATATTAAAGTGGTATATTATATGGCAAATGGGAACTTAAACTGAAATTTCAAATCAAATTTAAAATAAAACAAATTATAGAAATTTGAAGGAGCATATACATCTTTCATATTGGCACTCAAAATCAAATTCAAAATAAAACAAATATACAAACGAAAATTGAAAGTTAAGCTTTCAAATTTGCGATGTAAATTAAAAATTAAAATAAATTTATAAGTAGAACATTTTAATTTGAAGAGAAAAATACTCTCCTAATAATCTAAATATTATATAATATAAGTTTTCAAATCTACGATGTAAATTGAAAATTAAAATAAATTTATAAGTAGAACATTTTAATTAGAAGAGAATGGTAGGAAAGTATGCTAGGAGGAAGAGAAAAGGGAAAAAAAAGAAGGGATAAGTAGGATTCGAGCCTAGCACCTCAGGGTTAACAGGTGAAGACTTCAACCACTAAGCTATCACAGTTTTGTTGCAATGTAATGCTTGCGCAACTATTTAATCTTATTTGGACCTCAGCGCCAAATAGCTTGGCACTGAGCTATGATGACAGCAAATTCATGCCACCTCGGATTAGAGCTCAGCGCCAATGCTATTGGCGCTAGGAAGTTATATCTCAGCGCCAAGGTCCATGGCGCTAAGTCCACGGCCTATTTTTGGTTGAAGTTTTTTTGTAGGGACTAGTTTCAAAATAAGTTTTTGAAAAGTTCAATTTGTCAAAAAAAGGGTACAATCTCTCTCCTGAATTTTTTTTCCGATGAAATATAATCTCTCCTGCGATCTTATCATCTATTTCGCCTGTACCAAAACTAAATCAACTTTGGCTGTGCACAGAGATTTGTGTGTATGATGTAGATTTATTTTGGAACGGTGTAACCCAAATAAAACTAAGGCTATGCCCAGATTTGCGTACATAAATCGATTTATTTTGGGATGGTGCGAGTAGCTAGTAGCTAGCCCCGTATTTATGGATGAAAATAGCTTGAATACGGACTGCATTTACCATATTCTTTTCTATATATTTTTTGGACTAGAAAACAAAAAATGGAAATGAATATACCTCAGTTACAAAAATGATAAAACATATTATTGAATATAAATACGAATCATATATGAGGTGGAACAAAATGATCATAAACACATCCACTACTAGGCCCTATGTCGCTCCTACAGGGTAACTATATTATGGCATGCAGACACTCATCCCATGTCACCACTGTCCACATCCTTGCTTTCCCCTCGGCGCCACCTGAGCCGGCCTCTGGGAACCACGCGGTTGCGAAGATGGTGGTGGCGGGGCCTCTGAAAATCTCTGTATTTTCATTGCGTTGGTCTTGGAGCAACTGGCAAGCGGCGGGAGTGGAACCGACCAGGCTGGTCAGGTTCAAGAGAGGGGCCGGTGGCGGCCCGATGACGACCATATCTAGAGCGTGCACATGGCTATGGCGATACTGATGGAGCTTGCATCTACATCCATGCGAGCTTTGCTCGGTGTGCTGGTGTCCTTGTTGTGTCAGTGTCCTCAGGGTACCGATGGTGGCAGCTACAGCGAGTTCTTGTCGGCATTGGCTAGCGGCGACATCGGGAAATACCATATGTCGTGTTATGGTGGCTGGATCCGGCGCCATCACGTCAAGATCCCATCGGTAGCGCAGCTCCTCACCCACAGCGTAGGCATGGGATACTGAGGAGACAGCGAGCAGGTTTGCATCTAGACCCTAACGGCAGCTGCTCCATCTCCAGGGGCATCAGTGTAACACAGAGCGGAGATAACTTGTACTCCCTCCGTTTCATTCTATTTGACACAGTTGACTTTTTATTTTATGTTTGACCGTTCGTCTTATTCAAAAACTTTTGTGAAATATGTAAAACTATACGTATGCATAAAAGTATATTTAATAATGAATCAAATGATAGGAAAAGAATTAATAATTATTTAAATTTTTTGAATAAGACGAGCGGTCAAATATGTGCTAAAAAGTCAATGGTGTCAAATAAAACGAAACGGAGGGAGTAGGTGGTTAGGCTGCCTGCATCTAAAGCTCTACCAGGCAATGGCATGTGTGGATAGGGTTAGGCGGCCAGAACCGTGGTGCCCTACGAAGAACCCTCCCCCCCTCCTAAATTATAGCCGGCTCTAGCAAGAGGCCCTCAGCTGCGCTCAATGGCAGCTTTGTACTGGCGGGCGCTCTCAACAGAGTGGGTAAGGTGTGTGCTGGCTCTGTCGGCATCCAGCGCATCATAAGGGATAGGCACATGGGAGACTCAGGCAGCAAGCCTCAGGCAAGAGTGACATGGGTGACAGGCCGTCGAAGGAACCAAGAAACAATTAATGATGCACCCAAGCACATTGTGAAGATACCTATCCGCAAAGATGATCAAGGCAGGTCAAAGCACTCGGCTGTGGTAATTGAACCTCTACGCGATGATCATGATAATAGAGAAAAATCTACACAGCTCGACAAGGCTCCACCACCAGAACCTTCCAAGAGCTTGCTCATAGAGGAAACTCCTCTATCCGGGCCAGATCCAACAACTTCTTACTGGCAAGCAAGAGCCCCTCCGATGGTGGTCTATAACAAGTTTCCTTCGTCACCGTCTATGGGCTCTTCAGAGGCTGTACAGGTTGACGATCTAAGCGACTTCTCTCCAGAAACCAAAGAGGTACTTGTGCTTCTCCTTATTTTTCTTCCTTTATCTATTATTATGCTTTCCGTTTCTCTTCTTTTTTTTTTACACCGCTATTCTTCTTGCATTAATCCAAAGGTTTGATAACTTATCGCTTGAAGACATACCCCTGACTCAAGATATGATAGATCATGGTATTGCATGCATCGTTTTGTTTTGTTCTATTTTTTTCACATGGATGGATACCAATGCACTCAACATCTCTTGTCATGTGGAGAAACTTCAGGAGAAGAACTCTGATTATATCACCAAGTTTGTAGCACGCAGCACTAACCTTCAGCTCAGTTCTGTGTACCTAATACCTGATGAGCCACTAGCACTGAAGCTCCCGAAGTCCACACCTGTCGACGGTCGAAATGCCAGGATGGTGCAAGGGGATTTAGTCGAGATCCAGGATTGCCTGAGAAGGAAGCAGTTCGATAAGGATACTATCGAGCTGATCAAGACGGCTGATGCCGGGAGGGCTAAAATCTATAAGCCTCCACTCCCCGCGGACATGGCGATATTGATGTCTCATCTAGAAGCTCTTGTGCTGCGCTTGAAAGGAGATCTTCCTAAAACTTTTGAAGAAAAGACTTTGGCCACTCAGGATGGTGAAGCACATTCCTATTTGGCAAAGCTAGAGGGTGATTGTTAAGATGTGTTGTCCGATCTCTACATCATCAAGAGTGGCCGCCCATAGCTGCAAGTCTTCAAGAGGTCAGTCATCAGGAGCCTCTTGGAAGAAAAAGGCAAAAGAGCATGAGCTGAAGGTGAAAGAGGCACGAGAGAGAGAATAAAAGTGCGTCGAGTACCAATTTATTTAGGATAGAAAAAAGTCTAGGATATCTCTATTTAGAGAGATGTGTGTGTGCGGGCGTGCCAGTATACCTAGATACACAAAATATAAACAACACAAAAGAACACATAAACATGTGATCTTTATTGTAGGTGTTTTGTGTGTATCCATTACAGTGATGTCCTCATCATCGGCCAAAAGTCAAGCCCATGGCAGGGATGTCCCTCAGGCATCATCTCCCTCCCTAGAGGCACCATCTTTTGCATGACATGTTCCTCTCTACTTTGAAGCTCTAGGTGAAAACCCCATCCAGTATGCAATGGCAGTGTCATTAGACGTCACTTCCCTTCTTGAAATCATCATCACTCTACCGACAATCATGGTTGTCCCCCAGTGCCCAGACTTTTTGTGTCCTTCCCTCCCTCGTCCTGCTCCCCACAATTCCAACCTTGAGGCAAGTCTCATCTTTGACTCCTCCAACACCAGTCCACAAATTAAATCCCTTGCTTTATTCCCCTATTTGTCAAAATGGTGCCAACGCCAACGTGCCTCTAAAGCCGGAGTTAATCAGCCAATGTTCTTAGCCTTTGCTTCAATCACCATTGCCTTGACCCATCATATACCACGAGTATGGTGTTGCCTTGTCTCCCTCTCTAAACTTGCACTTTTGGCATGCTAGTTGATCCATAACGTGGGTTTGCAAGTTGGTTGGAAGCCTAGCCCTTTTCGGTGGCTATTGCGATTTGTAAACTATGTTTCTCTAATGTCGTTGTTGATGTTTCCTCTCCCATTGCGACTGTCGCCTCTTGCCATTTCAATTTAGTCATGCTCCTAGTTTCATCTTCATCCTCTTCGCTTGGTGGCCTTGGCCACAACGTTCAACGGTTCTCCTCCTAAGGGTCTTTCTTCCCAAAAGGGCATTGGAGGGTGTTGAATTGGCTAATAGTTTGTTAAAAAATGATTAAATATGACTTGATGTGGACGGCCAATGGTCGCAACATTCAGTGGACCTCCCTCCTCTGGGGCTTCCTTCCCTCAAAGGGTGTCGGTGACCATTGATCTAGATACCAACAGGGTTATGTTGGCTGTGATGACTTTTATGCAGGTGGCCTTAGGAAACCACAATCCCCGATCACCGGAAAACGGGCCGACTTGTGTTTGGCAAAAGGCCCTTTAGCAATCTTCTATTCTATGTGCTTCATGGCTGTGTGTGAAGTGGATGCTGTTAAACTAGGGAGCTAGCTTTAGTTGTTTGGGAGTTTAGATACATGTTCGATAGGTGGACAACATCACACTCCTCTTTTTTTTTCTCTTTCTTTTATTTCAGGTGTAACCTCTTGTGTTCTCCTCCAGGGAACCTACACTTATATAGCTGAAGCCTATCATGTGAAAAACTGTTGGAAGCAATATATATATAGGCGGGCATTTTGCACTAGAAAAAAAATACAACCATACATATTTATCAGATTGTAAAAAATCTTTATGATGGGCTATCAAAATCAACATAGAACTATAA